CTACTCGAATGTCAAAGATGGGAAAAACGCGGGCCAAGAGGGTGAGGAAAGCTTCCCTTCGAGTTCAGAATCCATGAGCCTGACTGGGAACTTACAAGACCAAGAGACTCAGACGGACAGTGAGGGGCATAGGAAGGGCACCATGCAAAGCGAGGCCTGGGGACCCCTGAAGGTCCCATAGACACTTCTCGGGGTCTGTGCTTTTATGAGAATACGAAGACACGATTTGCCTTTGTAACTACCATTATGTCACTTTTTCACAGGCCACAAGACACGTGACATCAAAACAGACGGAATGCAGGAACAGACTCCAGGAGCCAGCGAGCTTGTTAAGCCAGACACTAAAGAAATTTGTAAAAGCAGGATGCGATGCCATTTTTCTCAGTGAATTTTTGTGGATAGTTATTTCCCATAAAAACCTGCTACTTACATTAACACGTATGTATCGGGTGTGTTACTATTAGATGAATTAATGAATACTTTAAACATTTCACTTTTAATTTCTCATAAAAGTATCGGCCAGAACTGACCTAAATAAAAGCTCTTGGGGATTGTAATTTTTAGGACTGTAAAGGGGTGCTGATGCTCCTTTGGTTTGAGCATTGCTATTCTAAAGGAAGCCTATGTGTCTGGCATGATTTACGAGCAAACATACATACTTCACCCTTTGGGGAGGGTCTTTCTAGAGCAGTGGTCTCACCGGGGGCCATTCCGCCCTCCAGGAGACATCTGGCCACGTCTGGAGGAACTTTTGGTTGTCAAAAGTGGAAGGGGTGCAGGGCTAGCAGCACCTGGTGGGGAAAGCCAAGGGTGCTCAGGGCAGCCCCGCGGGGAAGCATCTGGTCCACCCGTCAACACTGGTGAGCATGGGGTGGAGGCACCCAGGGTCTGCCGAGCGTCCAGCTTGTCACTCGGTCCCAGAGAAGAGGTGGGCACTGCGATGGGAAGCTCATGGCACCTCCCCCTAACTCACATGCGCTCCAGCCCACGGCTGATCACCCGCTTTGCAGATCCTCTGTCTTTCCTGAACACCAGGCTCTAAGCAAACGGGCTGCAGGGTGGCTGGGGAGGTGGGCCGAGGGGCGGCGATTAAAAGTAGCGAACCCCACTCTGAACTAATAGTTGCATGTGCATTTCCAAAAAAATAAAAATAAAAATAAAGTACTAGTCTTTTGGGTCCTGAGTGTCACTGGAGTCCCGTTTAGGGTTGTGTGGAAAAAAAGTGGGAAGAGAACAATGGGGAATGTGGCACGGAGGCTCCCAGCTGCAGCCCAAGCTCAGAATTCGGCCCCCAGACAGTGGCTCTGATGTTCCGGGGGAGGAGCTGGGGACTCTCCTCGCAAGGGTGATGATCACAGCCGCCTTTCCCGGAAAGCACACCTACCAACAAACTATTTTCACTGTCCTCCAGCACTCGGGTTAAAACACAGCCGAGGGACTAGAAAGTCAAATTTTCTTGAAAATATTACTTTTCATAAAAATGTGAATTTCGTTACCGTGTAATGGGTATTGTTACTATTAGATGAATCGATATTTTTGAAATTTCAGTTTTAATTTCTAAGACGTGACTCCCCCAGCAACACCTACGGGACCCCAGCATATCTGGCTCCCTGTCTCTGCAACACCAAGGGGGGCGGGAGAGGATGTAAAGGGACAGATGAGAGAGAAGAGTTGTTACTAAAGGCAGAAGGTGTCAGAATAAGCTAACAGGTTGGAGAGAGGACTGTTGAGCTTTCTTTTCAGCAACACATATTATGTAAGCGATGCTGTAGAGACTTTCAAACAAAACTGAGCCGAAGCAGGACATGCGAAATACACGGCCAGAGAACAACACGGAAACAACCTTTAATGTGCTTAAAACAAGTCACTTTACAAAGAGCACAGACACTTTCGAAAACAGAACTTTGGACGCAGTGTACAAATTAAGGCAACTACTATCAACAACTACTACCACGGCATGCTCTCAGTCTTCTAAAATGGACTTTAAGAATCTCTGAGCGATTTATTAAGACTCTGGATATTCATCAAGTGTGCCTCGTGAGGTTTCCACAGCTCTGAAGGTCACACTGGGAACGGCTGCTCCAAGCGGAGTTCCCTCGGCCCATCTCCTGAGTTCTCCAACTTCCGGTTCCCCGGGAGCCCATCTGCGGCCTCACTCCTTCAAAGTGTGCCATGAAATAAACCCGTAAGGACTGGGCAGAAGCTCTGGTTCCCAGGACACATGTGGAGAAGTCAAACTTAAACATCGTATTTGAAAGCGAGTAAAACAAAAGTACCAACACACACCATTCAAGAAGTAGTTTCTAGAAAAAGCAAAATGTGCACAGCATCAGTTAGAACCTTTAACGGTATCTTGTTACATTGGAAGATATATTCTGCCACACATCTCGCAGGGAAAAGTTCTTTCGAGAAGTTGTGGGTCATGCCTGATCTGTCCCACAGAGTTTAAAATGGCCACGTTGGAAACTCACCAAGTGTTTTCAGGGGTGAGGAAACAGGGCCACAGAAGTCAGGTGACATCATTTATGGCAACCGGGAGTCAGCAGTTTTACTATCTAATAACCCCCAGGCTAAAATACTTTCCCCTACGCTGCTCTATCCCTTACAATCCGTTAAGGCGGGACTTCATCTTCCTTCCTAAAGACCCCACGCCATCAAATGTTCCTTTGTTTAACCCAAAAGTGTTCTGCAGTGTATGTCACTTGCTTCTCTGTCTTCTATGAGGCTGGATTACAGGCAGCCAGGATTTTAGTATGAGGACCCTTTCCAGTCTCGCAGTGGTGTATTAAGTCAATCAACAGTAGGCCAAGTTCTTTTAGGTTTTCTCTGCCGGGGTTACTTCCCAAGCCTGGCTACCCTGCTCTGGGCGGGCGGCCTGTTCTGCTCGCCTCTCAGGCTGTGAAGCCTTGACTGCGGTAGCTGCCCTAACACAGGTGAGTTCACAGGCTGGCCTGGCCGTGAAGGTGACGTGACACCGAACAGGTCTGAAAAGCGGCACGGCACGGCAGTCCTATCTGAATCGTTCAGGTTAAAACATTCAAGTTCGGAGCAGCGTTGACAGGAGAGGAAAAGAATGAGGGTTTAATGCGCCTGAGTCAATCGTGTTTGGTAAGTGGGCGGAACCAGAGGTGAAGGCGCAACATGAAGACGAAGACGGAGGAGGTAAAGCAACGATTAAAAAAAAAAAAAAAAAAAAAAAGTCAGGCTCAACGCAAAGTTCAGGTGCACTGCGGTGCCCCAATCTGCATTGCTGCAAAATAACGGACACAGGGGTCTCCCAAGCGTCCTGATTAGTGTGCCATGTTGCCTCTGGTGTCCTTATGAGGAGTGAAGGGCCCACCATTTCAGTATTTGTCGGTGGTAATTCAAGCTCTGTGGCTCCAGCTCTTAGTAGCACTAGAAAAAATACAAAAAGACAAGTGGGGCATCACACTCGGGCACTGCAGGCCACACCTCAAGAGTCTTAAGCAACTGACAGTCTAGGAACTCAGTCCACCTTAAAAACATGCATTTGACTTACTAGTGGTTCTGGCTGTCTTTGAGCTGCTGAGGGATGGTTCAGGTTCAAACTTAACATTATCCGCCCTTCTAGCCAGGTTCTTTCTGCTCGAACAGGAATAAACGAGTGATACACACCGATGTCCTCTGACACGCTAACAGTGAGAGAGACAGGTATGGGAGCAAGAGAGGTTTGGGGAGCACCGGAAGCCTTTGCGGCTGCAATAAAAGCTCCGTAAATGATAGAAAAAGCATCCACCTTGCAGAGTGATTGCACTGCACTTAAATCAATTTAGTCCAAAGAGTGACACGGAAATAGGCAGGTCAAAAGCAAGAATGCCACAGTAAAACTTGATTGTCGGCTATAAACAAAGGGCAGGGAAAGGCTGGCATAAATAATCCCTAACTATTTAAGAAACTTTTTGGGATTTCTCCTTTTTGCTTTGGGGAAGGCGACAGATTTGCTGGAATAAACCACCTGCTGAAGAGGAGGGAGGCTTAGGATGCACCAAATAGTAAGGAAAAGATAACGCTGGGACTTAAAAAAAAAAAAAAAAAAAAAGCCCACTGCTGATAATTGCCAGTTAACTGTTTTCCAGACAGAACTGAACTCATTCTAACTTGGCTTACAGGAAGGGGGCTGACACTTACAAACTAATGTCATCTGTGATAAGACCAGGGACCTTGATGACCCAGCTCTAGAGACTGTGACACTGAATCAAGCAGTTTCTCGGCCACCAATGATCCACAAGGGCCAGTTAGCTCTGCCTGGGTGGAGTCAGCTCCTGGGTCCTTAGCCCGGGGTGCTCCAGTCCAAGCACTCGTCGCAGGCAAGACAAGACCAGGCAGAGTGCTGGCTCTGCACACGCTCTCAATGGTGTCAAAGGAATGACCCGAACCCCGCCAGGTAGACCCAGGCCTCCGTGAGCATTTGGGTTGTTCCTCAATGAGCCCGCAGGTGAGAAGCAGAAGTCGTCACAACTGGCCCACGCAGACAGAGAACACAAGTAGAAGAGAGAAGGTTGTATAAAAATGCCCGAACTAGATAAACTGAATGGTACTGATGCTCTGGGAGAAAGAGGCTAAAGGAATCAGACGTCAACAGGAGAGGTCGTGTGGGACACGGGCGGCACAGGCCTGGCCAGAGAAAGGAAAGGTGATGGAAGGAAGAGGAGGAGACGCTGAGAGGGACCAGGTTGGAGAGAATCTGAGAGCTAAATGGAGCCCGAACCACAGTGAGAGCTGCTAGATTTGGGGTGGGGGTTATGAACTTAAAACTACCAGCTGCAGATACAGCTTCCAGAAACACATCCACATTTTCCCAGACGGAAACAGTAAAACCTACAGAACCAAAATTTCAGGTTACGAAGCAGACTACGAGAAAATCTCATGCAGGAAAACACTCTAGAAGACCCTGGTGTTTTCTCGCCCACGCTGTTTTTCTGCCCTTAGTTAAAAGGTGTTCACGACAAAACAGAAAGGAAATATTTGAGAGCAGTTACCTCTGATTCTATTATGTCTTGTCCTTCTTTGGAACTTTTTCCTGCTTTTGGTGATTCCTGGGAAATATCAAGCAGAGTCAATTAGACTTCTCAATTTTTAGACTGCCAAACATCAGACAACCCCAAATGCAGTTTAAAACCCGATTTATACCATTTAACCAGAACTTCCGCTAATTTTAATCAATACCACCAAGAAATTCTGCCTCACGTCACTTAGTTACCATAGAATATTGCGATGCGACACCCCCACCCCCCCAGTTCAGACTCTCCTCGTTTTCCTGATGTTTATTTGGCGTTGAAAACTTCAGGCAGAAATAGATAAACCCCCATGTAAGGTGCTCTCCGTGTTTCGACAGAGCCACACCGCATCCCTTTCTTGCCTCCCACCTGAGCGGGGATTTCTGGGGTGACTCTGAGACGCTACCAAGCTCCACCTGGAGCAGAAGCGTACCCGGCCCCCCCACCCCCGACTCCCAAATGCAACGCAGCACACTCACGGCCATCCCCGCCGCCACCCAGGATAATAATAGTATTTCAGAGCCCCAGAGCGTCCCTCTTCACCAACAGCCAGCCAGAGCCATTCGCTCCCCTTCCCCGGTCCGGGGGTCCCTCCTGCGCGTCTGCGAGGCTGGGTCAACCACCTCCGCGGCCGCACCTGCCCCCTCACGCCCACCGCGCGCGCGCCGCCTGGGGCCCGACGCCCACGCCGCCCTCACGGCGGTCGCGCCCCCGCAAGCCCGCCCGCCC